ACTACGCTACCAGAGCTCCCCTCTTACAGTTTAGGAGGCTAGAATTTAAGAGTTCAGAGTGCCAGCTGGAGCAGAAGACTTTGTCTGTGTGTCTCTTGTTCCTAAGAGGATCCCAGCTCAGGGACCCTGGGGCCGAAGTCCGTTCTTGGCTTCTCTTTCTTGGTGGTATGGTACCCACTCTCTGCTACCTTCTTTCTCCTTTTATCTCTTGTAAGATAAAAGATATTGCAGGCCACATCCCAGGGAAGCTGATCCTTGCATCAGATCAGGGCTGTTATGATACTGACAGGAGCTCTGGTAGCATAGTGCCTAAGGTACTTGATTGCTAACCAGAAGGCTGGCGGTTCAAACCCACCAGCCACTCCTCGGAAGGAAGATGAGGCGATCTACTTCCGTAGTGATACTGCCTCAGAAACCCAAGGAGAGGTCGCTATGAGTCGGGTCTGACTCGACGGAACATAACAACAACAACAACATGATACTGACAGGTTTGAACCCACCCTCAATCTTCTTAATCCTTTTACACCTCATCAGTTGATCATATCAGATCATATCACGGGGTATCATTACATATCTGCCATATTACATAACTTCTAACCCACCGAGAATCATGGCCCAGCCAAGTTGACACAGATTTTGGGGGAACACAATTCAATCCATGACAACAAGGAAGAGAATTTAATTCTATGCTGAAAACTCTCCTTCCTCCTCCAGCATCCAAGATGAAGTAGGCCTTCTACCAGAGAAGGTGTCTCTGTGTGTGTGTTACTGAAAATATGAGTCCTCCAACCCTAATCTAGGGGGGTTTTGACCATGAGCCAAGCATTGATGTCCTGAATATGAATATTGCTTGGCTTGAACTGGGTCTTATCTCTAGCTCAGTGAGATATGTGGAGGTGGGGGATGCTGGGGGACCTTCCTTGTCAGCAATGGATTCTCCAAGATTGAGAACCGAGGAGTCAAATGCCAGGCAGCAAGGAACAGATCAGGGACCCCAAGGAGAAAAGAAGCTTTCCTAATACCCATATTTCTGAGGTTGAGACTAAGACATTAAGCAAACACAGAAGTGATATAAATTTGATAACTGTTACTCAGGAAAAGTAAGAGGTTTTAAGAAATTGTGACAGGGGAACCTAATTTAGGTTGAAGTCTTAGGAGACTCTCTCTGGAGAAGTAGTGTTTACATTCAGAAAAAATGAATGCATGTAAGGAGACTTCCAGTAAGATAGAGAAATAGGCAGACAAGCTACACAGACCCTCTTCAACAAAAAAAAGAGAAACCAATTGACAGAAATACAGAAAGTAATCCTGGAGCCCTGAGCTTTGAAAAGAAGTATACAGAAGCATGTTAGGCATCAATGAGTGGAAAAACCTGAACGAAAACAATGAATATGGAGGCAATTGGAACAGAGGACTATCAGCTACTCTGACAAGACCAATAGCCTGAATATTTCCAAGTGATGTTGGGACCTGAGAATTGACCTAAAGATCAGCCCTGGTCACCAAGGGCTGCAGGGATGACTGTGCTGGTGGCCTATGACTAGGAAAGGAAGGAGGGAGACAACCTGAGCTGTCGATTTTCAGCTGACCAGAGGGCACAGCCATTTTGATTGTTTACAAACAGTGCCCATTTTGTATATTTAAAGTGACCAAGGACACAGCCATTTTGAATCTTTACAACTGGTGGCCATTTTGGATATTTAAAGTGACCAAAACCGAAATCGGACCAAATGCGGGTCCCTGCCCGGTGCACAGTCAGGCCAAAACAATTTGCACACTGAGTGATTAAGAAGAGAGAAAAGATTTATTGCAAAGTGGCAATGTAAGGAGACAGGGGTCTTTACCCAAATCTGACACTCCAAATCTAAATGGAATTACAGTTTTTGTAAGTTTCAGGAGAAAGGGTTATGCATGTTCATAAAAATTTCAGGAATTTGGGCATGAAATAGTTGATGACTGGCTGAAGTTTCCTTTGCCTCAGTTTAAAATGACAGCTGTTTTTAATGTAGTGTGCTAGTGCACCAGATGAGTCACACCAGCTTCCTGTCATCAGCTGACTGGGGCTTAGGCAGAGGGGAGAATGTCAGTTCCCAGCAACTTTGTTCCTGTTTGTCCCACTGCACGTGTCCATGGGCCAAGGTTAATTTTCAAGTTGTCTTCTGAGATACATTAATGTGCTTATCACCTATTTCTAGGTGAATAGCAGGAAAGAATGTGTAAATTGGCTTCTCGTTCCATTCAGTTCTTAAGGAACTTAGTTATTGTATTTACTCATTTGTCTCCAACTGGGGTCCTATCTGTCTTAACCAGGGTGGAAGAATAGTTGAGCTTTCATCCTATTCAGCTCTTAAGGAACTGAGTTATTATGTTTACTTGTTTGTTTCCAACCGGGGATGCAGGTTGAACTTTGACTCCACTCAGTTTCAAAACCAAACCAAACCAAACTCACTGCCATTTTGAATCTTTACAAGTGGTGGCCATTTTGTACTTTAAAGTGACAGCATTCTCATTTGGATTCCAGGGACCTAAGAATAGGCTCCATTTGCCAAGGTCAGCAGAGACATACATGAGGTTGATAATGGGAAAGGAGACAGGTGGTGAGTATATAAGTGCTGCCAACTAGCAAATAGAGGAGCACAGCACAGTATCCTGCTTACATAGATAACATACAAACAAAACAAAGAAAATTAAAATCATGGGCAAGTCACTCCAACATACAATAACCAATTAAATATAATACAAAAACATCACAATGCCTTGGAGACAACAGAGCATCACAGTCGCACACAAAGAAGCAAGATAAAATAGGAGAAACAAAGGACCAGGATACAGACCCAAAACACATCCCTGAGGAAGAAGCAGCACTGGAACTCCCTGATAGGGAATTCAAAAGAATTATATTTGGGTATCTTCAACAAATTGAGAGAGAGATCAAGGAAAACACTGATGAAATTGATGAAAACACAGAGAAAACCCTAGAACAATTTGAAAGACAATACAAGAACAAAATGACAAAATAAATGAAAAATTAGAAATGATACAAAATCTGCACACAGAAATCCAGAAGATTAATACTAAATTTTCAGAAATAGATAAGATATTGAATGGGCAAAGGAGCAGAATTGAATCAATGGAAGACAGAATTAGGGAGATTGAAGGCAAATACTTCAATACTTCTTTAGAAAGTGATCGATCAGAAAAAGGATCAAAACAAATAGAACAAAGCCCAAGGTTTGTGAGGGATACCATCAAAAGGAATAACCTATGTGTCACTGGAATTCCAGAACAGGAAGAGACAAATAAAACCACAGATAAAATTGTCGAAGATTTGTTGGAAGAGAATTTTCCTGATATGATGAAAGATGAGAACATACCCATTCAAGAAGTCCAAGCAACCCCAAATAGGGTAGACCCCAAAAGAGAATCACCAA